GGGGGGGGGGGGTAGACGCTGAGATACACCGTGACACCCCCTAGGTGTTCCCTCAGCCAGGAGAGGCCTTTATCTGACCCTGAGCGCTCACAGGTGGACAGGCCTGCTTGTGCACGGCCAGTCTCAGCAGAGCCCTGGTGTGGCTGATACTCAGCACTCCCGGCCTGGATTCCACTGTGGCCGTCTGTCAGCCCACACGCCACCTGCTCCGGGTCTGGTGAGGCAGCAAGTCCCGGTTTGTGAGAGGCCTAAATGATGTACCGTGTGGGGCTCCTTGGAAAACGGGGAGGACAGTGGCTTGCTGAGGACCCCAGGAGCTCTGGGCAGGCGGGGCCCAGCCCCCTCAGGAGATGGCGCAGGGACTATGGCCCTTCTGTCCTTCTATCAGGACCCCCCGGGGAAGGTGTGTGGATCAGGGCCCCCCTTCCCACCCTGAGACCGAACACTTACCGACACACCACTGACTTCACAGCATCCTGCAAGTTACTGAACCTCGAGGAGTCTCAGTGTCCTTCTGTACCTCTCAGAGTTCTGGGGAGAAGTAGCTAAGATACTGTGTGTCTAGCGTCGCCCTGCAGAGGAGGAAACGGAACGGAAAGCCAGCAGTCTCCTCATCTCTTGGCCTGTCATGTGGCCTACAGACTTCAGGGTTAGATATATCTTCATTACATACTTGGCATTGCATCAGAGTGAGCTATTCACCTGCACGTCTCCCCTGCTCCCAAAGACTTTGTCCCCACAAATAGCCCCTGGCGAGAGACTGGTGACCAGGTAACTGTTTGTGGAATAAATGACCGAGTTAACACATTTCTATGAGCATCATTGGATCCACGATTCTCATACTTTAGTGTTTATCAGGATCACCTGATAAATTGGGGTCCTGGCTAAAGAGATTCTTGGGCCATACTTCCAGGGTCTGGGACTCTGCATTCTTAGTGAGTTCTTTAGGTAATTCTGATGAGGGTGGTCCATGATCATGCCCTCAAGAGCCAACTCTATGAGAAGCGGTCAGGTGGAGCGGCTGGAGGCCAACTCATCACGTGGGTATATCCTCCAACCGTGGCCTGCTGCCCTGGCCTGGAGACTCTTGCTGGAGGGTCATCAGTGTGTGTAGGAAGCGCAGTGTGAAGTGTCAACTAATCTCTTACAGCACATAAGAGGTTATAAAACACGTCCAAATTTCATCCCTGTCACAATGACAAGAAAAAAAGCTTCTCATCCACATTTTCGATATGAGGGCACTGAGGTTCAAAGAGGTTAAGTGACAGAATCGGTTAGGGATGAAGCCAGCACCTCTAGCACCATCGACTGGCCCCTTCTGCATACTCCAGAGGTCCTCAGTCACTTTCTCAAGCAGGTATCTTTGGTCTGGAACTTGAAGGTATCTCAACTTTGCAGCATCAGAATGATGTTGGTGACCAGGTAACCGGGTTTAGCAGTAATAAATCAGTGAACACACACACACACACACACACACACACACACACACGCATACACACACACACTCACATCATTTTGAAGATCATTTGCTTTCTGATTCCTTAAAGGCAGCACTGAAAGGTTAACATGGCCGAAAGACAGTCAGAATATTTTAATTCAGTTTTCTAAAGAATAGAAACTCACTCTCTTCTGGTTGTGAGCAATATTTCCTGCTCCCAGTGGGGGTCTGGGAGGGCTGACCTCCTTAGGACCAGGTCCTCAGCCCCCAGGCTGGGCCTCACTGAGCACAGGTTCTGACACATCTCCAGACAAGCAATGAGGTCGCACTCACCAAAGAAGCAAGACGCCTGTCCCTGTCCAGGCCTTGACACAGGGTCCCCATTGCTCCTTGTAAACTGAGGCCCACAAGACCGGGCAGCTGAGTATCCAGGGCCTGGAGTGCGCCCAGCAGGGGGCCACACTGCGGCCGGACCTGCATGTCATGTTGATGGGAGCTGGAGAGAAGTGATGGGATATTCACAACGGTGTTAACATGAGTCATGAAGTGCTGTAACTGGGCCCTGAGGAGGGGCTCAAAAACAGGACTGAGTCTCATCCCTTTAGATGGTTTAATATAGTTCCAGGTAGAGGCAGGCACATAAACACGTCATTGGGAATTCTTGCCTCAACCCTTCAACGTAGACATCATGGTTCCATCTTGATGAGTAAAGGAGCTGAGACCCAGAAAGTTCCTTAATTTGCTCCAGGTCACTCCAAGTTGGCATCAATAAATAGGGTAGCATGAGCTGATTAAGAAGGTGGAGTCATCATGTGAATTGGAATCCACATCTACTGGACATGAAAACTCATGTTCTTTGCATTGTGTTTATCACACACATGTGCTTGAACACACACACACATGCATGACTCATAACCTACCAGTGAGATGTTGGAGACGGAAGTGGTCCTTTCCACAGCTATCTTTAGAAAGGGATGAAAGATTTATATAAACTGAACAGAAACCAAAACGTCACCAATGCCCCAAGAGAGGTCCAACTGAAGTGGATACAGAGAACACATCCCTTTGGGGATGTAGACACAGAGAACACATCCCTTTGGAGAATGGAGGATTCAGGATTCCTGTAAGTAGAGGGGCAGCCTGGGAACCGGTGTTCCAGGGGAGGGAGGTGCCTGAGCAAACATCCAGAGGCCGGAGCCTAGTGTGTATTTGTGGCTCTGGAGCAAAGGTGGGCCTGCAGAAAGGCTGGAAAGAAAGGTGGTGGCAAATCCTGGATGCCAGCCCAATGCCAGACTGAAGGACAGAAAGGTCAGTCCCTTTCAGATGATGACTTCCAGAACCTGGAACCTCTATCTGTTTCAGGGATACATCCCTGCCAGCCTCTCCTCCTGAGCCTGCCAGCAGGTCTCTATTTTCAAAGCGCTTACACACCTGCTGTTTCACGTGACCCTATGGAACACTGGGAGGTCTGGGAGTGACGCAGAGATGCTCCCATTGCACAGGGCCCTGACTCACTGTCCAGTGCTGTCTCTGCTGCCAGCTGCTGCCCACTCCCGGGCTGGTGATTCCTTTCCAGGCAGGCTGTTTGTGCACACCTCCTGGTCCAGCCCTCAAGCTGGGCAAGCAGAATCGACTGAACAGAATCTTTCCAACAGGATCAGGCCTCTGGCTCACTTGCTTGCTATCGGTGAGGAGAGGAACTGGATCTCTGAACAGGGCCTTTGTCACTCCTGAGTCTCCATGGCTGTCCCAGGCCCCATAGGCCAGGTGTAGCAGGAGGTGGGCCAAGGGAAGGGAAGAAGACGGCTACTACCCAGCAGCCTCTGCTGGTGATCTCCTGGGCGGAGCTAAGCCACCTCCGTCTGATGGGACTCAGGATGTCACTTGTCGAAGGCTGGGGGTGACCCAGACACTCTCCTTACCTAATCTCATTTAATTTTCACAGCAGTCCTGTTCGAGAGAGACTGTAGTTACCCCCGTCATACAGATAAAGAAACTGAGTTTGGAAAGGTCAAGCGGCTGCCCAGGGTGTCAGAACTGCTGGGGGGTTCCCGTCTGACGCAGCGCCTATGTGTGGAATCACCATGACTCTGTTCCTGTTCCCAGATTGGGCGCCCCTCCCCCGCTTCCTTCTCTCCCGGTGATGCCCAATCAACCATCACTCCCACCCTTCCCTCCTCTACCTCCCTTTCTGAACTGGATCCTTGGGCTGCATGCCACCTGGGTGGTGTAGGAAGTCAGTGTGTGATATGTGTAACCTTGTCTGAGAGCTCCCTGAGAGCCAGGCCTTACGGTTCATAGGAGAGAGGGACTGCCATCCCACTTACGGATGCGGTG